GTCTGAGGCTACTAATGCATGTCCTGCAGGTGGGTGGGAGCAGGCTGAGGCAATGCTTCAGTGGTGAGAGTAGTAGCCAGCAGCCATTACTGTAAGAGAGCTCCTGTATCTATGCAAAAGACTTTCTGTAGAGATTTGTAAGATTTAAATTGCCTTCCATGAAGTGGGGAGGCAACTCCACTCAGTCTCCAAAATCTGTGGTCCCTCACTCTTTCTTGATTTAGGAAAACAATTGACCAGAGCAGAGAGTACTTCATGAGATTGTGCACATCTGTGTTTACTTTGCTCCATTCTGTGGGTTTTCCCTTGGGCCTGTGAGATGACAGTCTGGTAGCGATCAGGAAGGTACAATGTGATTTTTTTAATATATCCCATGGGGGATAATATTTAATAGTAATCACAGTATAACATCTCACATAATTTGCAGAAAACATGCGTTTGCTTTAATCTGCATGCCCAAGCTGAGTTCCACAGCCGTTATTCCGAAATAACTATTCAAGTGTCTACACAGCAATTCTGTTATTTTGAAATAATTTTGAAATAACGGACAGCTTATTCCGTCTTCTGTAAACCTCATTCTATGAAGAATAACACCTATTCCGAAATAACTGTTTTGAAATAAGGTGTGTGTAGACACTCCACATCTGCTATTTCTAAATATCCCCTCACCAGGCCATTCTAAGTTATTCCTCCTGGAGCTCTAAATCGAAATAGCATGTCTACATTAGGGAAGCCTGCCTCAGACTAATTTTGAGGCTTCCCTGCAGTGTAGATGTGCTATTTGGAAATAAGCTATTTTGGAATAACTATCCTAAATAGCTTATTCCAAAATAACTGTGCAGTGTATATGTAGCCTAAGTGAGTTAAATGTGAGAGTGGAGTTGGATCCAGTTACTTCATTCCTTATTTTAGGCCCATTGGGGTCTAATATTGTAAGGAAGATGAACAAGATTTGAGACCTGTTTGAGATACTGCCATATAGCTACATATTTGGAAAAGCGAAGATATATTCATACCATTATTTAGGGTTGGAATGTGAGAGATACAGCTCTATTGTGCCTTGACAGTCAGTAAATCTTTTTATAAATGACTCATGATATACTTTTCTCTTCAACACTATGTGTGATATAGTGAACTGAGCACAATTAAATGAAATTCCTCCGCCACTCCTATCAGTTACAAAACCATGCAAATGAATTAAATAGTTCTGTTCTATGTATGCGTGTTACATAAAAAATCTGCAGTGGGCAAGATTAGGTGGATGGACATTAAAACTTTATTCACATTTCAGTGACTTTTGTGTATAACTGAATGTTTTGTGGTAAGGAAGAAGAAGCCCATCAAAATCTATTTTTGCTTAAGAACAATGAAGATAGGTGTTTACACCATTTAAATCACTTGAAATGATAGTTATTTGTCTAAGCATAGTACATATAATAACACATCACAGCAAAGTTTCCAGGGAGGAGTTAGCACATGCTTTCAATTAGAAGTCAGACTGCAGCTGATGAGAAGAATTGTGAACAACATTTCTCCATGACCTCACTAGGATATTTCCCAATATCCTACGTATGCATGACTGAACAAGTGAAAAATAGTACAGTTAGAATCCAAGCTACAAGGCATCTTTTTCTGATTTATTTTCCTTTATTTAAGGATTTCTGTCTGAACAAGCTTTCCAAGTATGTGTTAGGAGTATAAATGGAGAACTTGGGTAGAATCCTGAACCTTTTCCGCCACAGTTACTCTGACAGAAGTTGGAACATTTGGTTACATGAATAATATAGAGTTTTTGCATGGGAAAGGGTTGCAGAATTGATCCTTGTATTTCTGCACTCCTCGTTTTTCTGACTTCTCCCACAGGAATTAATTGGGCTCTTTGTGTGAATAAAGGGTTGCAAGAGTCAGACAAGAGTCTGTTACTCAGCACCAAAAGGAGTTAATTCTTCAAGGTGTTGAGGCTTTCAGCTCCTGCTGACTTCATTGGGTGGACTGATCCTGTCAACTCTTATGCATATGAGCAGTCCCACAAATTGCAGGATTATGGCCTACAGTTAATGAAAGTGCTATGGTTTGTCCTGCACTGGATAATTTTTAAAATTATATCACGTGCAAATATTACAAGTGAAATTACGCTGGCTTCAATTTTCATGTAAAACCAGTTGGGTATTTTTTTCATATTTACAGTGTAGACAGAGAAAACAGAGGGTCCTGTCCTTATCTGAATTCATAGTGATTAATCATATAAGATCAGCAGCTTCAGGCTGCGTATTTGTAGTGAGTGAGACTGTTTATAACAATTTGTTCATGCATATATAGTCCTTATTCAGCATGTAGGCAAAGCCTGTCCTGGAGTTCTCTCTGTGTCAGTGCAGATCTGCATCCCATTAAAACAGACCTGTGTCCTGCCACTCATACAGTCTGATCACAAATTGACACTTGTCAGTCACTGAGTGGAAGGATTTTTTTCAGAGTTAACAAGTGAGCATAGAGAGCTCTTGCAGGCTTTCAGTAGAAAAGCAAGAGGGTAGGAGTTAGGGATGTGAAGGTGTAGCCATGTACTCAGATAACTGATGAGCCTGGGCTCATTGGTTAACGTTCATAGTTAAAAGCCAGCTCCCCATGCACACCAGTTTCCAGGGACCCACCAGCCACCCCCCACCCCTGCACTACTGCCTCTGATGGAGAGGCAGCAGTGCAGAGGGGGAGGGAGGAGGAGGAGCCAATATGCATGGGGAGCCAACTGCTACCCATTAAAATTTTCTTAATTCTTTAATTACACACATTTTAATATCCCTAGTAGGCATTTTCACTGCATCTCATCACTCTTAATCTCCTTCCTCTCCACTCTACTTCTTTTCTTCCATTCCGTTGTTTAAGGTTTTAATAAAATGTTTTTTATTGTCCCCAAAACTACAAAACGTTCTGCATCAGCTTTCTAGTAGTTTTTGTTTTGTTTTGGTCTGTAGATGATTCTTTTCCAAGATCTAGAGGTTAGAAACATGTACTTTCTAGGGATGTAGGAGTATAATCGATTACCTAATTGACTGATAAGCAAAAGCTTATAGGTTATTGCTATAGACTACATGCTTCCCTCTCAGTAAATTTTTTATCAAGCTGGCCAGCAGCCTGGCTCAGTTCCAGCTTGCGCTGGGTCTGGAAGTTTAGACAACCCCCACCTGGACAGGGGCTGCTGTATCAGAGGTAGAGTGCAGAGTGACAGGCAGACGGTCTGCGAGGGGAGCTGGTTTTTAAACTGGCTCCCCTCCCAGACCATCTTCTGCCTGACACCTCACAGAGGCAGCAGCACAGAGAGGCAGAGGGCTCCTCGGGAGTGGGACCAGAGCCCACTGGTTACTGGCCCCATTCCCAGGGACTATAGAATAGTTGAGTAACTGATAAGAATCCATACTGTGTGCAACGGCAGTCCAAAAAACAAATAGAACGTTAGGAATCATTAAAAGGGTAGAGAATAAGACAGAAGATATTTTATTGTCTCTATAGAAAACCATGGTATGTCCACATCTTGCATAGTTGTGTACAGAGTGGTCGCCTCATCTCAAAAAAGATACTGGCATTGGAAAAGGCAGTGGTGTAGTGAGGAGGGGAAGGGGAGATAGTTGCCTCCGGGCACCACGCTAGTGGAGCGCCAATTTAGCTGCCAAAAGTTACGTTGTTAACTTTTTTATGATTATTTCCTATTTTATATGTATTCCAATAGTCAACTGTGAAAAGGTTTCAGCGAAACCTTCAAAAAGTAAATAGGACGATAATTATGGAATAAAGAACTGGCAAGATGGGCTACTAAGCAATTAGCATAATGTAGAAAATGAGGTTATACCTATTTGTTGGTCCAACTTCCCAGTAACCCTGTTCACCTGAATTGTGGTGAGATGGAATATCTTTAGGTGCCTACTTGTTAGAAAATACAGATCTACATCAAGATTCTTTGAGTACTGCAACATTAAGGACTGTTGGTATTTCTTGTATCTACTTTCTAAATTAAGCCCAATCCAATTCCCAAGTCCATAAAAATACTTGTATTGATTTCAGTGGGAGCTGATAGGGACTTTGGGCAAGGAACCTCTTCCTTCCTTGAGAATGGAAAAAATAGGGGAGATTACAGCTAAGGATGTAAAATCCTGATTAATCAGTGAACCAGTTAAACATTATGTTTAACCGGCTAACCCAGTGTTTCTCAAACTGTGGGTCCCGACCCCCTGGGGAGTCGCGAGCAACTTAGAGGGGGGGTTGCAGTATCACAGAGTTTGAGAACCCCGGGCTACCCAATTAAACGGGGCACGGACGAGGGGGCTGGACTGGAGTGACTCCCCTGCTGAAGGCAGAGGCTGCTTCAGCCAGTCTGGGCCTGCTGAGGGTGGGGTCTGCTTCAACCGGGCTAGAGTGCTTCTGCCCATGGTGGGCCCTGCAGGGCTGGAGCAGTTGCATTCTTCCGAAAGAAAATCAAACGAATAGGGGTTTTTCCGACATTGGTAATCCTCATTCTATGAGGAAAAAAGCCTTTTTCCGAAAGACCTCTTTCAGAAATAGGTGTGTGTGGACTGGGAAGAGGCAGTTCTTTCGAAAGAAGAGGAAAGAGGAAAAAGCGCAGGTGACTTGGTGGCCACTCCTTCCATAGTAATCACAGCTGAAATATGAGATAGCATCCTATCTTTTGAAAAAGCAGATCGCTTTTTCGATGCACTTTGGCAGTGTGGATGCTCTCTTTTGGAAGAAGTTTTTCCAGAAGAACTCTTCCTGAAAAGCTTCTTCCGAAAGAAACCTGCAGTCTAGACATAGCCTCTGAAATGAAGCTAGGGGATCTACTCTGGACAATGGGTCATCATCTCCTGAGGTAAAAGACATGTCTCAGTTAGGCATACTGTGTGATGCCTTTCCATATGTTCTTGGCCAAACTAGAGTTGTCTACCACATATAGACCTCCACATACATGTTTTGTATTTTCATTTTCGCTTACTATGTGTTTGCTTTTTTTCTAGGACTAATCACAATCAAAGAGGCCCGTGATATAGAATCCAGGCTTAATGAAGTGGAGAAGCTTCTGAAGATTATTATAAATATGCCTTGGAAAGTAAGTATGTCATATACCATGTTACTGGACTTGAGACCTAGTGGAGAGTAATTTGCCCTCTTCATATAGATGGGAAGGTATTGGGCTCTTGGAGATTTTGCAGAGGCTGAAAGGGCTGTTCAAGCTTCTTCATGATATCATCTCTTCCCTCTGTCTCTACCCTCATGGTCTCCTGCCCCTACAAAGAGACCTATGTATTGTCATGATGTAAAAAGTCATTAAAAACATCTGAGTGGTGCCACGGTTACTTATGCTGTGGGGCTCTGCAGTACAATATAACAATTAACTTTATACTGCAGCGCCTGCAGCGAAGCTTCCTGCAAGCAGAGCTGCCAGCCCCTGCTAGTCCCTCTCCCAGGGAGGAGGCTTCATTGCCACTCCTGGGGAGGCTCCAGCCCAGCTGCTGGGGAGGCTTTCTTGTAGACTGTGCAGCTGGCTCTCCAGGACCCACAGTTTATAATCTGTGGCGGGAGAGTTGGACTGGGGCTGCCATGGACAGGGCTGCTCTGTCTGTCAGCCTGGCCGGAACAGCCCCGGCCTGTGGTGGCCCCTGCCCAGGGTGGGTGGGGAGCCTCTACAGCCCCTACTGGTTAACTGGAACTGGTAAGCCTTCCCCATAAAGGGAGAGGCTTACTGGTTAACCTTTTCTATCCCTAGTCACGACTATTATCTCCTTATCTTTCAGGATCATGTATCTGATCTGCACGGTGTGCTGAATTGAGGGTCTCGTAATTAGATCCACAAGAGCAGATCCCCACTGATATGAGTGGGGCTCAGTATGGCACAAGAATGTTGCTCTGTGTTTTCCGATTGCAGGGGCTATAGACTGTAAACTCAGTAAAGCAGGGACCATGTATTTCCCTGTTTTTATTGCATGAGGCACACTGAAGGCACTCAATAAATAATAATAAAAATGGGTATTATTTGTAGACTGGCCACTGTTGCCCCAGGCTTATGTAGTACCTTCCTTTTAATTATGTCCAGATCCTGGATTCAATCCTCTTCTTAAATAGGGCAGATCACTTAACCTCTCTGTTCCTTGGACTGCCCATCTGTATAAAACTGCCCTTTGGCTAACATCATGTGTTTTATCTCCATGATTAGGCTATGTTGAGGCTTGATTAATGTATGCAAAACACTCAAAGGTCCTTGGGAAGATCTTGTAAAAGAGCAATTGCTCCAGAAGCTCAATCACACATGGCAGGAGTTGGAAGATATGGGTTGTGTTCTTGATCATGGCACTGGCTTTGCTTTATAAATGGGCAAGTCGGTGAACATCGACTTGCCCATTAGAAACAAATCCTCAAGAGGCACTGAGCTGTAGTCAGTGGGAGTTGGATGTTGACAGTAAGGGTTGCATGTATTCAGCATTTCTCAAGATCTGGCCTGGTAACAAGATAAATAAACCAAGCTATGACTCTGGAACTAAACTTTAAAAATATGTATTTCTTTGTTTTTTTCAGTATTCTAGATCTGAAGTTGTCCTTACCTTCTTTGAAAGATCTCCGTTGGATCAAGTGTTAAAAAATGACAATGTCCATAAAATTCAACCAAGCTTTCAAAGTCCGGTTAAAATATCAGGTAAGAATTATTAGTTTGCTAGAATGCACACAAGAATAACTAAATGAAAATATTTGTTTCCCCCCCGCCATCCCATAACATTTAGAAAAAAGCCTACTTCCTCTGCTATCCTCATGCTCTTGCCTCTCAATATATAGAATATCATTAGAACAAACACTATGCGGCAGAGTTGTAGGCATTTTGAAATGACTCCTTTTGTCAGCATATGGACTTCAGACTCTTCCTTGCTCTGCTAGGTGTCAATTGCCCTTCCTTGAGAAGACTGTGTCCTTGTGCTGTCTGTACTGTTGCATTGCAGAGGAAGAATTGAGGAAATATGACCTAAATAAAGTATATTTCTATAACATACACCTACATATTTTTTTAAAAAGAAATTGGTCACATTTTGTACTAAGGGTGTATTCTTCTACCATATATTTGTCTCTGTCTCTATCTGTTTGTTCAAGAACTCCTCCTAAATGGTAAGAGCTAGGATCACCAAATTAGGCATACAGCTCACTCTTATCATAACTTAAAGCAAGGTCAGGGTTTGGTTGTACAAGGAAAATAGGATGTGCCTGGAATCGGATTGCTTCTCATAAAACTATACAGAACAGGACAGAATTACCAGGCAGATGACTGTCCCAGCCCCACGCCTCCCACCCCACAGGTGCCCTTTAGGAGGGGGGGGCTGAAGCTTCCCTCACCTCCAATTTGTACAGAACACTGCTGGCTGTTCCCCTTCATCAGGGAGCAAGGGGAAAGTGCACAGTCTGCTGCATTCCTCACTCTGGCTGGGGAGCACAGGGGGCAGATGAACCTGGGCCTGTCCCAGCCAGGGGGCATGCATCCCTCCCCCAGCTGTGTCCTCTGGAGTTGCAGTGGCCATGGAGATATGGTTCTCACCTGGCCCCAAGCTGCTGCAGTGTTAACTACTTTAACAATAACTTAGTCTGTGTGCCCCTCTGCATGTGTGACATGATGGATCTAAAAGCAGATGGAAAATGGTCACTAAGCAATAATCTGGGCACCATTCTGTCACAGTTCTAAGAGTCCAGTAAAATGGCAATTACTAGTTTGGCTGCTGCTCTCTCTTACACTGATGTAAATCAATCATACATTTGTGGAAGTCACTGAAATTGCATCAAACTGGCTTGACAAAAGAATGAGGGTCACTGATATTTTTAATAGTAGGAAAAGATTTGTGTGGAATGCTTAAATACAAAGAGTGAAACTGGAACTAGCAGTGAATAGATTCTGCATGGCTTATGTGTAGAAGAACTATGAAAACAATGGGATCTAGGATTGCCAGGTGTCTGGTTTTGAACTAGACAGTCCAGTATTTGAGCTTTCTGTTCGGGAAACAAATTGAGAAAATATAAATGAGAAAATATAAATGTTTGGTATTTTCTAAATAAGATGTAATGTAGATTGTGATGTAATGTTAAGTGTGTCCAGTATTTTTGTTGAAACCATCTGTCAACCCTAATGGGATCTGAGCAAGAATATATTTTTAATCCCAAATTAACTCCTGTAGTTTATAGTCAGTCCAACTTGATTTTTCCCCCTCTCTGTCCAGGTACCCAAAAGTACTCTGTGGTAGTCAGTCTTATGTGTCAGTCTTATGTACTAGCAGGCAGTTATAAAGAATTTCAAAACAAGCCCCATGTCAGATGATTGACACACCACAGACTGATTTTTGCACAATGAAATGACTGCATTGCATGTTTCCAGCAGATGGCACTAAATGTTAACGTCTGAAATGTTTCGTACTGCAGGAGTTATGCTGTAATATGCTTAGGTCACCTCAAGGACACTCAGAAAATACATTCCGAGCTTTCTTTAATTTGGATCTAATACAACTTCATAGATGGCTTGTGTCTTCAGCATAAGCTGCAAAAATATTTTGTGTTCACTAAAAAAAACAGCGTCCAGTACAGTCTGCTCCAGATTAAATATTTGAAACAAACAAAATTTACCAGATGAAAGCAGAATCTGAGCCTTGAGTTTACATCTCACTCTACTGAAGGGTGTGGAGGTGATCCCCAGCTGAAGATTCTGGAGGGATTCAGTGTAAAATCACTCACATATGCATTCTATTGAATGTGGGTCCAATAAAAAATAGACTGGAAGTCAGGGATTAATTTTTCAGTATAAACATGAAGGCACACGAGTGTTAGTCTGAATGCAAAAATATACCTTTATTGTGAAAAATTAAACCCCCGGGTAAGGATGGTTATCATCACAGGGAGGCAGATTCTTTGTGTTCAAGATGTAAAGCTTTTGTGTCCAAACCCACCCCACCTAACTTTCAATAGTGGGGTAGTTCTCTGGTATGTCAGATTTTGCTTCTAAGTAACAAATAAGGCATAGTTTTCCTCTTTCTTTGAAGAAAATCAGTTAAAAATCTATCGAGGTCAGTTTCAGTGTGAAATGAGTGCAAATGAGAGGAGAATCCAAGGATGTGCCAGACCGAGAATACTTTTGTTGCTCCCAGTGAGTGAAAATATGTTCTAATAAATGTGGGGCTAAAATCTCTGAGGTAAATGGATAAGAAACCATTAAAGGCAATGCTGCTGCATCTATATATACCAGTTGATAATTTGCTCCCTCAATTGTAATTTGGTTTCATGCGTAATTTATGAAGGCAGTGAGTTTCTTCACTGCCAGCCTGGGAGATTTAACTTTGAAGTTTAGTTAACTTATTGTTAAGTATATGAGTGTAAATGCATGATCACTCATTTGAGTTGCAAGTGTTGGGCCTAATTTTGATTGAAGTCAATGACATTCAGGCCCAAAAAGTGTAAGTTTGCTGCAGTGATCTTGCTGAGTATTGGTAATATCATAACTTTGCACACCAGTCAAGTTATGATAAGACCTTATACAGACAATGAAGAGAGCCTTGTATTGTGTTACATTAAAGTTTTGATCCATCAGTGGGTTCCCTACTGAGCAAATCTTCTACCATGTAAAAAAGAGCCATGATTCTGCAAACCCTTAACAGAGGCATGAGTCATTGGAACTATCTGTGAGAGTATAATTAAAAACAGATAAATGTTCTTAGATGTAAAGGCTCAAGCCTGCACTTTATCTATTCACTTAGAGCCAAATCTGATAGTACCCCATGAAGTCAATAGGAGCCTGTCCACTGATTTCAATGGGGATTGTATTAGGCTCTCCTACCAATAAAGAATGTCGAATTCAGCCATTCTTAGCTGGTAGCATTTGCAGAGAGGTAATGACTGCACAAAGCTCAAGGCAATAGAGAATTAGACCTAAGGAAAATTGCTGTTGGAAAAATCAATTGTTTAACTTTCTTTAAAGGTTGTTGTTGATTTAGTGTTGTATTTGTTTATTTATTTTCTTCCTCTTTTTATTTAATTATGATAAAAACTTCCCATCTGGGAAGAATACAATCAAAAGTACTGTTGGATTATAACCCTATGGAGCAGATGCACTCCATTGAAGTCAATAGGAGTTTTGCCACAGGCTGTAATGGAAGCAGAATTGGGTCTTCTCCCTAAACGGAGTATTAGCTAAATACTCTCACATTAGAGGTCTGAACTGCACACGAGCTCAGTAGGACTAATCACAAGTAAAATTGCTCAGGTGTTGGCAGGATCAGGACATGAAGCCAACAAATAAGCCCCGTTCCTTGTTAAGCTACAAAATAAGAATAAGATATTTTTCATTTAAATTAGCTTGAACAGATATTCACTGACACTTCAGTTTGTCCTATTTTCATTCATGTCAGCTTTGTGTGATGCACCTCCACCTTATCCCTACCTCATTGCCTGCCATTCCGTTTTCTGGAACTGTCTTAGACTGTCAGCATTTTACCTTTTTCTTCCCTTCTCCCCACAGAAATCATGCGATCAAATGGATTTTGTTTAGCAAACACAGAAACAATAGTTATTGACCACAGTATACCAAATGGAAAAGACAAGCACCTGGATGTAGATTCAGCAGAGCACTTGTAAGTAGACATTGCCCTGAGAATTGGTATCTTTAAATTAGTTGCAACTTTTTCCTCACAAAATTTGAATACCTAGATAAGCCCACTGTTGTAGGATACCTGTGTTGGTAAAATTGCCAGTCTGACTAATTAAAAGTTGTTTAGTTTGGCTGGACTGTCAGGGTATGTCTATGCTGCAAATGGGAGTGAGCCTTCCAGCCTGGCTAGACAGGTTTGTGCTAGCATTACCTATCTTGCTAAAAATAGCTCTGTAGACATTATCGTACCAGCAGAGGCTCAGGCTTCCAACTTGAGCTTGGACCCAGGGAGCAGGGTAGGCCTGAGCTCGGATGCTTAGCCAGAGCTTACGCCATACTGCAACATCTACACAATTATATTTGGCATGTCAGCATGACCTCTGCAAGCCCAAGTCTGCCTCCCTGGGCTGGGAGGCTCACTCATAGCTTCAGTGTAGCGGTACCGTAAGAGCCTATTATAGCTGTCGTAGAAATAAGTAGAAAGGGAGTTGCAGTGGTCTTACAGGGGATTGGGCCTCTTCTGATAGATAAACTGTGGATGTAACAAGGGGCCTCAGGAGTGCTAGGTACAAAGTGTCTGATCGATGCAACTAGGATTGCCAGGTGTCCGGTTTTGAACCGGACAGTCCAGTATTTGAGCTTTCTGTTTGGGAAACAAATTGAGAAAATATAAATGAGAAAATATAAATGTCCGTTATTTTCCAAATAAGATGTAATGCAGATTGTAATGTAATGTCAAGTGTGTCCGGTATTTTTGTTGAAACCATCTGGCAACCCTAGGTGCAACAGAGTGCTGAGAACCAGCCGATAACCCAGTACTCTGATCACTCAAGTTTTAATTAGTTGCTCCAGAAAAGGCCTGCTGGAAGAGTGGAATACAGATTGAACATCTCTAGTTTGGCACCATCGGGACCTGACCAGTGCCAACTCAGAGAATTTGCTGGACCGCAAGATGTCATTATTGTCTAGCAGCATTACCAGCACTTCCACTGCTTACTGGTCTCTTAGAAGACGTTTAGGGGTAAATTAGAACTAAATAACAGCACAGAACACTGAGAGCCAGGACTGGTGGCTGTAAACAAAGTTTATGGGACAGCAGAAAACTTGGCCACGCCCATGATACATGGATATTTGGCTAATTAAAATCATGCTTGATGTTGCCAGACCAGAGAGTGCCAATTTAGAGAGGTTAAACCTGTATTTATTTATCTAATCAGTCTAGAAAGGGGGAGGACTAATGAGATAAGGAGCTAATTATCCTAGTAGCTGAGCGGGTAGTTAAAAAGCAGGGAAAGGAAATGCAGGAGGGAATGCTGGCAGAATTCAGAGGAAGTAAGAGGTCAACGTGGTGAGAGGGGTTTCTGAAGAAAGGGCTGAGGACTAGAGGAAACTGTAGAGAAAGTTGCTGCACAGGATTGTGCTGCACAGGTTTGGTGAAGGTAATATAAATAAAACTCATGGAGGTGCTAGCAAACAGAAAACATCCCAGGCTGCATCCTAAAAGTGGACACTGGCCTGTTGCACTTTGACTTTGGTGAGAGCTGGAGTGAGCCCACAGTATGGAAAAATGAAGGCTCCTTAGAGTAGTGAAATTCTCGTCAGTAATTTATTATGGAGTGACCAAAACATACCTTCTTAATTGTGATTGCTTCCCCTTTGGGTCTGCATTGCATGCACTTTGGGAATAAAGATTTCAAATGGAGTTTGAGTCAACGAGTGTGTTGACAGACTAATGTTCATGGAAATCCACTTCTGTGAAGTTCTGTCATGCCAACTGATTGATGTTTCACTTTAATAGCTTCAATTAGATGGAGATAAGAGTGTACTCTCAAATTTTAAATATTTGTAATGTGAAACATTAAACTACTCATTAGTTAAGCCAGTAAAAACCAAGAAAAACAAGAAAGGAAAAACGTTATGGATAGAATGGACAGAGGCTTGGACTCTGTACAGAAGGTCTTTTCTAAACTTCCTGTAGAATATGATCTGTATTGGTTTGCTAAAGGGTTTCGAATATGTTGCGGTCTTATGTTGTACCTAAAATGAAATCCTGGCCCCACTGAGATCTGTTGACTTTAATGTGGCCTGGATCTGGCTCCTTTTTCAGACTTTGAAGTATAACACGTATTGGGCTAATCCAGTGGTTGAAGGAGGCATAAAAAGATGTAGTGTCTGCAAGCTGATGTCATCAAAACTAAAACTGGAAATCAGACATATGTTTTTAATAGCAAGGGTAGCCATTGGAATAAGTAACCCAGGGACGTGATAGATTTTCCATCATTTACATGCATTTCAAAAGTCATCTAGTCTTGATTTTAAAAAATTCTCTAGCCCAACCAAAAGTTGTTAGGCTAGAATTGGGGATAGTTAGTGTAGTGCCGTGGACAAAGTCTGACTAGATGATCATAATGGGCCCTTCTAGCTTTAAAATAAGAAATAAGCCAATGAAACAGGAGGTCTTTACCCATTCCCATTTTACATAAAGAGATAACTTGTTTTCTCTTGCAGGGAATGGTTCGGTATTTAATAAATACCAATCTATACATGTGGGCTGTGTCTAGACTGGCAAGTTTTTCCGCAAAAGCAGGGGCTTTTGCGGAAAAACTTGCCCGCTGTCTACACTTGAAGAACACTGACGATCTCATGTAAGAAATCAGTGCTTCTTGCGGAAATACTATGCTGCTCCTGTTTGGGCAAAAGTCCTTTTGCGCAAAAGCTTTTGCTCAAAAGGGCCAGTGTAGACAGCTCAGATTTGTTTTGCGCAAAAAAGCTCCGATCGTGAAAATGGTGATCAGGGCTTTTTTGCGCAAAAGCACATCTAGTTTGGCACGGACGCTTTTCCGCAAAAAGTGCTTTTACGGAAAAGCATCCATGCCAATCTAGATGCTCTTTTCCGCAAATGCATTTAACGGAAAACTTTTCCGTTAAAACCATTTGCAGAAAAACATGCCAGTTTAGACGTAGCTGTGCTGTTCTCAGACTGAAGTGAGGTCCTTCCTGCAGTTGTATTTTATAGCAGCAGTAGGACTGGTTTGTGTAAAGCGTAGTTTTGTTAAAGACGAGTTCAGTGAAGATTTTCTATATTGCAGCTGTAAATATAGGTTGATAATCTTAAGTGAAAATATTTTTTTTTGAATGTTATGGAATCTATTTGCAGTCTGAATACAATTGAATTGACTGGATTGGTACTTTCTGTATAAAATAAGAGCTAATTTCTGTTTGACTGACTAGTAACACCTGAAATGAAAACTGGTGGATCCACATTTTTCTTCTAGCAACTCAAAGATATTGTCAGTTTAGTAGGGCTTGGCTAGATATGAACTTGGATATGAAATTTGCATGGAATACCTAAATGCTTCAGGAAGTGGTACCAGAGATTTAACAGATGGAGAGGTGTAGCAAGGGCGTTATGTGTCCCAGGGCAAAAGCAAAATTTGCGCCTCCCTTGCCACCTCTATGTGGTGGAGCCCCGAACCTGGACCACGGCTGAGCCTGACCCTGGGAGAAGGGGGGGAGCTTGTACTGCATCTTTCCCTGCCCCCTCCCGTTTGGGGCCAGGCCCCCGCATGCACTAAACTGCTGGCAGAGATGGAAGAGGGTAAGGTTGGGGACTCCAGCCAGCGGCGATGGGTGGAGGAGGAGCAATCGAGCCGAGGGATGATAGAGGGAGCAGAGGGGGACTTAATTGGTGCACCCCCTAGCATGGCACCCAGGGGCAACTGCTCCCCTTGCTATTCCCCTGATCAGATGGCACTCTTAACTATAAGTCTTTACTAAACCAGTGATCCAGTATTGTGAATGGTGCTGTGTTTTGCAAGATCCATAAAATGGAAATCCTGATCACTTGTCATTAAAGATGCTGTAGCACTTTTGCAAGCAGAGAGTTAGAGTTGGTGTTCTGGCCAAATGCCAGTTTAATTCCCTATAATTTGAGACTGTTTTGTGCCCCATGTGATACTGGATTGGCTGGAATGGATTCAGATTCAGAATTTCATTCATCACATACTGTCCCAAAATGTTTTGTTCTGCTTTAGTATGTTGTGAAGCAGTTGTGTTCCATTCTAGAAGTAGCAGAAATTACTCCCTTGTATATAGTTTGTAAAGTGATTTGTAAACCTTTGAGAGAATTAAAAAAAATCCTCTATTCATTATATTATCACTGGTTTTGCTGTGAACATGAGCCTCCTCTTACAAGGGTTGTTTCGACCCTTTGGGCCAGCGGAAGATGATGAAAACTGTGGAGCTGGTCATGCTGTTTTCTAGTACAAGTCCATTCTAACAATAGATGTGGATTTTTAAGGGCACTTCTGCTTAGCGTTGTAAGCATGTAGAGCTCTGTATAGAAGATGGTTATGTAAACAAATGTAAGTAAGTTAAATAGAGAGCCTTGCTGAGATATTAATGTTAGGAATAGAATATTATCAAAAATGTAAAATCCTACCATTTATTATCAGGAAAAACAGGTGCTATCACTGACCTCTAAAATCCACCCACAGAGATATATATGAGATGGGCAACCTGTGCTATTGAGTGGGCTGCATAAGTGGCCTTCCTTCATCTCAGAGGGCCACAAGATTGTCATAATCAAGATAGTGTCTTGGGATAGGCTAGTTTTGCTAACTGCGCTTGTGTACTTTGAATTGGTGGAGTGTACCAATTGTACCATAGCAGCGCTTTGATTGTATGCAGAGGCAGTGCATGCCTTTCACCGTCAACATTGTGTGTAATCAGCATATACCTCATTTCACGTGTACCCTTGGTTTATGTGCATTATTAGTAGGAAAAAAACATGCACAGATGGAAACCAGTGGAATCTGGCAACCCTAAGTGTAGGCCATAGTAAACTAAATGTCTTGTGGGCCACACATAGAACCCAGATGGGCCACATTTGGCCCTTGGGCTACAGGTTGCCCACCACTTCTGTATGCAGATGCTTATCTTATGCAGGCTGATACATAGGACCAGACTTTCTTCTCCCACCAA